CGGGGGAGCAGGGGGAGACACGGGGGAGCAGGGGGAGACACGGGGGAGACACGGGGGAGAGAGTAGACGGGGATTTGTGTTGTTAACCCACGCACTCACCCATCAACTCACTCACTCATCAAACCAGCCACCCACCCACCCAGCCACTCACCCACTCACCCACCCACCCAGCCACTCATCCACCCACCCACCCACTCACCCACCCGCTCACTCACTCACCCGCCCAACCACCCACTCACCCACCCACTCACTCACTCACTCACCCACCCACCCACTCACTCACCCGCTCACTCACTCACCCACCCACCCACCCACTCACCCACCCACCCACTCACCCACCCACCCACTCACTCACCCACCCACTCACCCACCCACCCACCCGCTCACTCACTCACCCACCCACCCACCCACTCGCCCACCCACCCGCTCACTCGCTCACCCACCCACCCACCCACTCACCAACCCATCCGCTCACCTACCCAACTGCTCACCCACCCACCCGCTCACCCACCCACCCGCTCACTCGCCCACTCACCCACCCACTCACCCAGCCACCCACCCACTCACTCACTCACTCACCCAGCCACTCACCCACCGACCCACTCACCCACTCACCCACTCACCCACTCACCCACTCACCCACCCACCCACTCACTCACTCACCCACCCTCCCATCCACTCACCCACCCACTCACCCACCCACTCACCCACCCAGCCACTCACCCACCCAGCCACTCACCCACCCACCCACTCACCCACCCACCCACTCACCCACCCACCCACTCACCCACCCACCCATCCACTCACCCACCCACCCACCAACTCACCCAGCCACCCACTCACCCACTAACTCACCCACCCAGCCACCCACTCACCCACCCACTCACCCACCCACCCACCCACTCACCCACTCACCCACCCACTCACCCACCCACCCACTCACCCACCCACTCACCCACCCACCCACCCACCCACTCACCCACCCACCCACCCACTCACCCACCCACTCACCCACCCACCCACCCACCCACTCACCCACCCACTCACCCACCCACCCACCCACTCACCCACCCACCCACTCACCCACCCACCCACTCACCCACCCACCCACCCACTCACCCACCCACCCACTCACCCACCCACTCACCCACCCACTCACCCACCCACCCACTCACCCACCCACCCACTCACCCACCCACTCACCCACCCACCTACCCACTCACCCACCCACCCACTTCACCCACCCACCCAGCCACTCACCCACCCACTCACTCACTCACTCACCCACCCACCCACTCACTCACCCACCCACTCACTCACTCACCCACCCACCCACTCACCCACCCACTCACCCACCCACTCACCCACCCACTCACCCACCCACTCACCCACCCATCCACCCACCCACTCACCCACCCACCCACTCACCCACCCACCCACTCACCCACCCACCCACTCACCCACCCACTCACCCACCCACTCACCCACCCACTCACCCACCCACCCAGCCACTCACCCAGCCACCCACCCACCCACCCACTCACCCACCCACTCACCCACCCACCCACTCACCCACCCACTCACCCACCCACCCACCTCACCCACCCACTCACCCACCAACCCACTCACCCACCCACCTCACCCACCCAGCCACCCACTCACCCACCCACTCACCCACTCACCCACTCACTCACCCACCCACCCACCCACTCACCCACCCACCCACTCACCCACCCACCCACTCACCCACTCACCCACCCACCCAGCCACTCACCCAGCCACCCACCCACCCACCCACTCACGCACCCACTCACCCACCCACTCACCCACCCACCCACTCACCCACCCACTCACCCACCCACCCACCTCACCCACCCACCTCACCCACCAACCCACTCACCCACCCACCTCACCCACCCAGCCACCCACTCACCCACCCACTCACCCACCCACTCACCCACTCACCCACCCACTCACCCACTCACCCACCCACTCACCCACTCACCCACCCACTCACCCACCCACCCACTTCACCCACCCACCCAGCCACTCACCCACCCACTCACTCACTCACCCACCCACCCACTCACTCACCCACCCACTCACTCACCCACCCACTCACTCACCCACCCACTCACTCACCCACCCACTCACTCACCCACCCACTCACTCACTCACTCGCCCATCCACCCACCCACTCACTCACCCACTCACCCACTCACCCACTCACCCACTCACCCACCCACTCACCCACCCACTCACCCACCCACTCACCCACCCACCCAGCCACTCACCCAGCCACCCACTCACCCACTCACCCACCCACCCACTCACCCACCCACCCACTCACCCACTCACCCACCCACCCACTCACTCACCCACTCACCCACCCACCCACCCACTCACCCACCCACCCACCCACTCACCCACCCACCCACCCACTCACCCACCCACCCACCCACTCACCCACCCACCCACTCACTCACTCACCCACCCACCCACTCACCCACTCACCCACCCACTCACCCACCCACTCACCCACTCACCCACTCACTCACCCACTCACTCACCCACCCACCCACTCACTCACCCACCCACTCACCCACCCACCCACCCACTCACCCACCCAGCCACTCACTCACCAACCCACCCACCCACCCACCGCACCCACTCACCCACCCACCCACCTTGCCGTGGATGCCCATGAGTTTGCGGAATTTGGTGTTCTGGTCTTTGCTACCGAAGTTGAGGTTCTCCCACAGCTCCTTGGTGGCGGACCGCTCGCCGGGACGGCCCTGCCACAACAGCTTGCGCTTGCCCCCGGCGCCCGCCGCCGCCCCCCCCACCGCTGTCCCACCCATCGCTACGCCACGGCCGCCACGCAGGAGCCCCGACGAGGTGGTGGAGGAGGAGGTGGAAGAGGAGGAGGAGGAGGTGGCGGCTTGTAACGCGGCCATCTGGGCGGCAAAGGCGACCTGCGGTGGAAGGGGGAGTGAGTGAGTTGGTGAGTGGGTGGGTGAGTGGGTGGGTGAGTGGGTGGGTGGGTGGGTGAGTGTGTGGGTGAGTGGGTGAGTGGGTGGGTGGGTGAGTGGGTGAGTGAGTGAGTGAGTGGGTGAGTGAGTGGGTGAGTGAGTGCGTGAGTGGGTGAGTGAGTGGGTGAGTGAGTGGGTGGTTGGGTGAGTGTGTGAATGGGTGAGTGGGTGAGTGAGTGGGTGAGTGAGTGAGTGAGTGGGTGAGTGTGTGTGTGAGTGGGTGAGTGAGTGGGTGAGTGAGTGAGTGGGTGAGTGAGTGGGTGAGTGAGTGAGTGAGTGGGTGAGTGGGTGAGTGAGTGGGTGAGTGGGTGGGAGGGGGAGTGAGTGGGTGGGTGAGTGAGTGAGTGGGTGAGTGAGTGGGTGAGTGGGTGAGTGCGTGGGTGGGTGAGTGGGTGGGTGGGTGAGTGAGTGGGTGAGTGAGTGGGTGAGTGAGTGGGTGAGTGGGTGAGTGAGTGGGTGAGTGAGTGGGTGAGTGAGTGGGTGAGTGGGTGAGTGCGTGAGTGAGTGGGTGAGTGAGTGGGTGAGTGGGTGGGTGGGTGGGTGAGTGGGTGAGTGAGTGGGTGAGTGAGTGGGTGAGTGAGTGGGTGAGTGAGTGAGTGGGTGAGTGAGTGGGTGAGTGAGTGAGTGGGTGAGTGAGTGGGTGAGTGGGTGAGTGCGTGGGTGGGTGAGTGGGTGGGTGGGTGAGTGAGTGGGTGAGTGAGTGGGTGAGTGAGTGGGTGAGTGGGTGAGTGAGTGGGTGAGTGAGTGAGTGCGTGAGTGAGTGGGTGAGTGAGTGGGTGGGTGAGTGGGTGAGTGAGTGAGTGGGTGAGTGAGTGAGTGGGTGAGTGAGTGGGTGAGTGGGTGAGTGCGTGGGTGGGTGAGTGGGTGGGTGGGTGAGTGAGTGGGTGAGTGAGTGGGTGAGTGAGTGGGTGAGTGGGTGAGTGAGTGGGTGAGTGAGTGGGTGAGTGAGTGGGTGAGTGGGTGAGTGCGTGAGTGAGTGGGTGAGTGAGTGGGTGGGTGGGTGGGTGAGTGGGTGAGTGAGTGGGTGAGTGAGTGGGTGGGTGGGGGAGTGAGTGGGTGGGAGGGGGAGTGAGTGGTTGAGTGAGTGGGTGAGTGGGTGGGTGGGTGAGTGGGTGAGTGAGTGGGTGGGTGAGTGAGTGAGTGGGTGGGTGGGTGGGTTGGTGAGTGGGTGAGTGGGTGAGTGGGTGGGTGAGTGAGTGGGTGGGTGAGTGGGTGAGTGAGTGGGTGAGTGAGTGGGTGAGTGGGTGAGTGGGTGGGTGGGTGAGTGGGTGAGTGAGTGAGTGGGTGGTTGGGTGGGTGGGTGAGTGAGTGAGTGAGTGGGTGAGTGAGTGGGTGGGTGAGTGAGTGGGTGGGTGGGTGGGTGAGTGGGTGGGTGAGTGGGTGAGTGAGTGAGTGGGTGAGTGAGTGGGTGGGTGAGTGGGTGAGTGAGTGGGTGAGTGAGTGGGTGAGTGAGTGGGTGGGTGAGTGGGTGAGTGAGTGAGTGAGTGGGTGAGTGGGTGAGTGAGTGAGTGGGTGAGTGAGTGGGTGGGTGAGTGAGTGGGTGAGTGAGTGGGTGAGTGGGTGGGTGGGTGAGTGGGTGGGTGAGTGGGTGAGTGAGTGGGTGAGTGAGTGAGTGAGTGGGTGAGTGGGTGGGTGGGTGAGTGGGTGGGTGAGTGGGTGAGTGAGTGGGTGGGTGAGTGGGTGAGTGAGTGGGTGGGTGAGTGAGTGGGTGAGTGGGTGAGTGAGTGGGTGAGTGAGTGGGTGAGTGAGTGGGTGAGTGAGTGGGTGGGTGTGTGAGTGTGTGAATGGGTGAGTTGGTGAGTGAGTGGGTGAGTGGGTGAGTGAGTGGGTGGGTGGTGTGTGAGTGTGTGAATGGGTGTGTGAGTGTGTGAATGGGTGAGTGGGTGAGTGAGTGGTGGGTGGGTGGGGTGATGAGTGGGTGGGTGAGTGGGTGGGTGAGTGAGTGGGTGGGTGAGAGAGTGGGTGAGTGAGTGGGTGAGTGAGTGGGTGAGTGAGTGGGGTGAGTGAGTGGGTGGGTGAGTGTGTGAGTGGGTGGGTGAGTGTGTGAGTGAGTGAGTGGGTGAATGAGTGGGTGAGTGAGTGGGTGGGTGAGTGAGTGAGTGGGTGAATGAGTGGGTGAGTGAGTGGGTGGGTGAGTGAGTGGGTGGGTGAGTGGGTGAGTGAGTGGGTGAGTGGGTGAGTGAGTGGGTGAGTGGGTGAGTGAGTGGGTGAGTGAGTGGGTGGGTGTGTGAGTGGGTGAATGGGTGAGTTGGTGAGTGAGTGGGTGAGTGGGTGAGTGAGTGGGTGTGTGAGTGTGTGAATGGGTGTGTGAGTGTGTGAATGGGTGAGTGGGTGAGTGAGTGAGTGGGTGGGTGGGTGAGTGAGTGGGTGGGTGAGTGGGTGGGTGAGTGGGTGGGTGGGTGAGAGAGTGGGTGAGTGAGTGGGTGAGTGAGTGGGTGAATGAGTGGGTGAGTGAGTGGGTGGGTGAGTGTGTGAGTGGGTGGGTGAGTGTGTGAGTGAGTGAGTGGGTGAATGAGTGGGTGAGTGAGTGAGTGAGTGTGTGAGTGAGTGTGTGAGTGAGTGTGTGAGTGAGTGGGTGAGTGAGTGGGTGGGTGAGTGAGTGGGTGAGTGTGTGAGTGAGTGGGTGAGTGAGTGGGTGGGTGAGTGGGTGAGTGAGTGAGTGGGTGAATGAGTGGGTGAGTGAGTGGTTGGAAAGCGGAGATGATTAGGGGAGACACGGGGTGGAGAGACGGAGACACGGGGGGAGACACGGCCGTGACCTCTGACCTGTGGAGACACCTGTGAGCCCGCGGCCAGGAGGGCCGACAGGTGAGGGCTCAGGTTACGGTTGGAAGCCAGGGCGGGGTGTTGATGACCCTGCACACACACAGGCACAGGCACAGGTCCCCCGTGAAGCCTCCACAGACTGTAGGGGCAAGTGCTGTTAGCTAGCGAGTAGCAGCAGCAGTGTCTATGTACTAAACACACCACACACAGGCAAAGATCCCCCAGGTAGCCTCTAGCAGGGCTGTAGGGGTAAGTGCTGTTAGCTAGCGAGTAGCAGCAGCAGTGTCTATATATACACACACCACACACAGACAAAGCTCCCCCAGGTAGCCTCTAGCAGAGCTGCAGGGGCAAGTGCTGCTAGCTAGTGAGTAGCAGCAGCAGTGTCTATGTACTGAACACACCACATACAGACAAAGCTCCCCCAGGTAGCCTCTAGCAGGGCTGTAGGGGCAAGTGCTGTTAGCTAGCGATTAGCAGCAGCAGTGTCTATGTACTACACACACCACACACAGACAAAGCTCCCCCAGGTAGCCTCTAGCAGGGCTGTAGGGGCAAGTGCTGTTAGCTTCACCTATGAAAGCGACCGGCACTACGCCCGGCCGCCTTTGTCTCTCCCCCAGTGCTAGCGATGTTTATTACCACATCGCATTAAGGTACTCATATAGAGATGTATAAACAGGTCCCTGCAGGGTGGGCTGGTAGGAACATTGGAATTTTGCGCAATTCTATGACATTGATACTTCCAAATGTTGGGTGCAATAAGACATATCAAGTCTCTGCGCTGTCTATTGCTGATTTTACACCCCAACAGCACGAGATTTCACTTCGTTAAAGTATTGAAAGGGGACGGACGGATGGACACATTCATCTATTGCAGGCTGGTACACTCAGTTTACAACTTCCTTCCTACCAGTATAACATTGTACATAGAGAGGTGTATATAATATTGTATATATAGAGGTGTATATAATATTGTATATATAGAGTGTATATAATATTGTATATATATAGGTGTATATATTGTATATATATATAGAGGTGTATGTAATATTGTATATATAGAGGTGTATGTAATATTGTATATATAGAGTGTATATAATATTGTATATATATAGGTGTATATAATATTGTATATAGCGTGTATATAATATTGTATATATAGAGGTGTATATAATATTGTATATATAGCGTGTATATAATATTGTATATATAGAGTGTATATAATATTGTATATATAGCGTGTATATAATATTGTATATATAGCGGTGTATATAATATTGTATATATAGAGGTGTATATAGTGTATATATAGAGGTGTATATAATATTGTACATATATAGTGTATATAATATTGTATATATAGTGTATATAATATTGTGTATATATAGTGTATATAATATTGTGTATATATAGTGTATATAATATTGTATATATAAAGGTATATATAATATTGTATATATAAAGGTATATATAATATTGTATCTATTATAGAGGTGTATATATAATAATGTATATATTATATAAAAAGATGTATATATTATATATAATATTGTATATATAGATGTATATAGAGAGATGTGTATATATTATATATAGATGTATATATAGATGTATATATTATAGAGGTATATAGATGTATATCTAGATGTATATATAATAGATGTATATATATAGATGTATATATAATAATATATATATAGAGAGGGAGTGGAATCACCTCCTGTCTGTTGGGGTCTAGATGTATATATTATAGATGTATATATTATAGATGTATATATTATAGATGTATATATAGATGTATATATTATAGAGGTATATAGATGTATATATATTATAGATGTATATATTATAGATGTATATATAGAGGTATATAGATGTATATATTATAGATGTATATATTATAGAGGTATATATTATAGAGGTATATATTATAGATGTATATATAGAGGTATATATATAGATGTATATATTATTGACGTATATATATAGATGTATATATTATAGATGTATATATAGATGTATATATTATAGAGGTATATAGATGTATATATATAGATGTATATATCTAGATGTATATATTCTAGAGGTATATTATAGACGTATATATAGATGTATATATTATAGATGTATATATTATAGACGTATATATAGATGTATATATAGATGTATATATTATAGAGGTATATATTATAGAGGTATATATTATAGATGTATATATTATAGATGTATATATATAGATGTATATATTATAGATGTATATCCAGATGTATATATTATAGACGTATATATAGATGTATATATTATAGATGTATATATTATAGACGTATATATATAGATGTATATATATTATAGAGGTATATATATAGATGTATATATTATAGATGTATATATTATAGATGTATATATAGATGTATATATTATAGAGGTATATAGATGTATATATATAGATGTATATATTATAGATGTATATATTATAGAGGTATATAGATGTATATATAGATGTATATATTATAGATGTATATATTATAGAGGTATATATTATAGAGGTATATATTATAGATGTATATATAGAGGTATATATATAGATGTATATATTATTGACGTATATATATAGATGTATATATTATAGATGTATATATAGATGTATATATTATAGAGGTATATAGATGTATATATATAGATGTATATATCTAGATGTATATATTCTAGAGGTATATTATAGACGTATATATAGATGTATATATTATAGATGTATATATTATAGACGTATATATAGATGTATATATAGATGTATATATTATAGAGGTATATATTATAGATGTATATATAGATGTATATATAGATGTATATATTATAGATGTATATATTATAGATGTATATATATAGATGTATCTATTATAGATGTATATCCAGATGTATATATTATAGACGTATATATAGATGTATATATTATAGATGTATATATTATAGATGTATATATTATAGATGTATATATTATAGACGTATATATTATAGAGGTATAGATGTATATATTATAGACGTATATAGATGTATATATATAGATGTATATATTATTGACGTATATATATAGATGTGTATATATAATAATATAGAGAGAGGGAGGGGCATCACCTCCTGTCTGTTGGGGTCTTGGTTCAGGAAGGCTGAGAGGAGTGCAGCGTTGTGCTGAGAGAGAAAATATCACCATGACAACAACATCACCATGACAACCACATCAACATCACCATGACAACCACAACATCACCATGACAACCACATCAACATCACCACGACAACCACATCAACATCACCACGACAACCACATCAACATCACCACGACAACCACATCAACATCACCATGACAACCACATCAACATCACCACGACAACCACATCAACATCACCACGACAACCACCGTCAACATCACCACGACAACCACATCAACATCACCACGACAACCACATCAACATCACCACGACAACCACATCAACATCACCACGACAACCACATCAACATCACCATGACAACCACATCAACATCACCATGACAACCACATCAACATCACCACGACAACCACATCAACATCACCATGACAACCACATCAACATCACCACGACAACCACTTCAACATCACCACGACAACCACATCAACATCACCATGACAACCACATCAACATCACCACGACAACCACAACATCACCACGACAACCACCATCAACATCACCACGACAACCACATCAACATCACCACGACAACCACATCAACATCACCACGACAACCACCATCAACATCACCATGACAACCACATCAACATCACCACGACAACCACATCAACATCACCACGACAACCACATCAACATCACCACGACAACCACTTCAACATCACCACGACAACCACATCAACATCACCATGACAACCACATCAACATCACCACGACAACCACAACATCACCACGACAACCACCATCAACATCACCACGACAACCACATCAACATCACCACGACAACCACATCAACATCACCACGACAACCACCATCAACATCACCACGACAACCACATCAACATCACCATGACAACCACATCAACATCACCACGACAACCACATCAACATCACCATGACAACCACATCAACATCACCACGACAACCACAACATCACCACGACAACCACCATCAACATCACCACGACAACCACATCAACATCACCACGACAACCACATCAACATCACCACGACAACCACCATCAACATCACCATGACAACCACATCAACATCACCACGACAACCACATCAACATCACCATGACAACCACCGTCAACATCACCACGACAACCACCATCAACATCACCACGACAACCACATCAACATCACCACGACAACCACCATCAACATCACCATGACAACCACATCAACATCACCACGACAACCACCATCAACATCACCACGACAACCACATCAACATCATCACCACCATCAACATCACCACGACAACCACATCAACATCACCACGAGTCTGTGGTAAACGAGGAGCCCACGGTAAAACGAGGAGCCCACGGTTAAACGAGGAGCCTACGGTAAAGGAGTAATTCTTCGCTCTAACTTTACCCGACCCTTGACCTTACCCCTTGGGCATGGCGACACCGTGACCCTGTGTACTCTTTTGGTTCTATTCGGTAAAAGTCACGACGTTCCGGGTCACAGCACAAGCAGCCTTCTTCAGGTGAAGGAACACAAACCGTCGGGAGGACGGAGCGACAATGACCGCTGCTAAGATTCGCGACGTCTTCTAAGCCGGTTGAGAGGAGTGAGGCACCTTGACTAAAGGGGTTGGTTTTACATCTCAAACAGGAGAATTTAGCGTTGAAACAGCTGAGGGATTAGCTTGTGACTGGTCACAGAAATAGCCGTGTTAAAGTCAAAGCCCTACACATCCAGTCACAAGCTAATCCCTCAGCTGTTTCAATGCTAAATTCTCCTGTTTGATTTGTACTAGGTGCCTCTGTGGATGTGTAGGCTTTGACTTTAACACGGCTATTTCTGTGACCAGTCACAAGCTAATCCCTCAGCTGTTTCAATGCTAAATTCTCCTGTTTGATTTCTACTAGGTGCCTCTGTGGATGTGTATGCTTTGACTTTAACATAGCTATTTCTGTGACCAGTCACAAGCTAATCCCTCAGCTGTTTCAATGCTAAATTCTCCTGTTTGATTTCTACTAGGTGCCTCTGTGGATGTGTAGGCTTTGACTTTAACACGGCTATTTCTGTGACCAGTCACAAGCTAATCCCTCAGCTGTTTCAACGCTAAATTCTCCTGTTTGATTTGTACTAGGTGCCTCTGTGGATGTGTAGGCTTTGACTTTAACAAGGCTATTTCTGTGACCAGTCACAAGCTAATCCCTCAGCTGTTTCAATGGTAAATTCTCCTGTTTGATTTGTACTAGGTGCCTCTGTGGATGTGTAGGTATTTACTTTAACACGGCTATTTCTGTGACCAGTCACAAGCTAATCCCTCAGCTGTTTCAATGCTAAATTCTCCTGTTTGATTTGTACTAGGTGCCTCTGTGGATGTGTAGGCTTTGACTTTAACACGGCTATTTCTGTGACCAGTCACAAGCTAATCCCTCAGCTGTTTCAACGCTAAATTCTCCTGTTTGATTTCTACTAGGTGCCTCTGTGGATGTGTAGGCTTTGACTTTAACACGGCTATTTCTGTGACTGCAAATCACTGAGCTATTTCAATGCTAAATTCTCCTGTTTGATTTGTAAACTCCTGTGTCAAGGTGCCTCACTTCTCTCAACCTGCTTAAAAAGTCACTACAAATCTTAACAACGTCCATTGAAGCTCTGTCCTCCCGACGGGTTGCGTTCATTTCACCTTAAAAGAAGGCCGCTTGTGCTGTGGCCGAAACGCCGTGAGAATTTTTGTTGTTTTAAATTTATTTATTTTTACTTTTTACTTTTTACCCACGCGACTTTCCCGAATGGAAGCCACGAGAGCACGGATCCTTGCAGTCGCGACAGCTTCACGAATATCCAGGGACCTCGGCCCCTGGCACTCGGTGAAAAACAAAATAAAATAAAAAAAAGTGGTAAAATCACCTCGCCCAGGGCCTAACGATCATCGGCGACGTCGCCACGACAACCGACAGCGCCCCCCCCCCCCCCACCCCCCCCAACCCTCACCTGATTGGCCGTGCCCCTTGCCGCCAAGATGGCCGACAGCAGCGCGGCGCCCCCTCCCCCCAGTGCATGCTGGGAGAACCCCGAGACGATGGCGGCACCGGGGGGGAGCGGCTGCCCGGCCCCGGCCCCCGGAGCAGACGCAGCCACGGCCGAGCAGGGCAACAGCGGAGCTGCGGCTGCACCGGCGGACGCCGAGACGGAGGCCGACGCCGACGCCGACGATTCGGCAGCCTCTGTTGGGGGGGGGGGGGGGCGGGCGGGCGGCTCTATGTCACACGCAGATATATATATACATACATATATACATATATACACATACACATATACACACACATATACACATATATACATATACACATATATAAACATACATAGATACACATACATATACACATATATATACACATATACACACACAGATATATATACACATACATATATACATATATACACATACACATATACACACACATATACACATATATACATATACACATATATACACATACACATATATATACACATATACACACACATACACATATACACACACAGATATATATACATATATACACATATACACACACACATATATACACCTCCACACATACATATACATACATATATACACATACACACATACATATATATACACATACATATATATATACATATACACACACATACATATATACACATACATATACATACACACACATATACACACACACCTCCACACACATGTACACACACACATATATATACACACACATATACACACACAGATATACATACATATATACACACACACATTCACACACCTACTACACACACACATATATACACACACCTATATATACACACATATACACACATACCTATATATACACACACACATATATACACACATATATACACATACACACAAAGATAAAAAGACAAAGATCCCCCATATAGCCTGTAACAGACTGTAGGGGCAAGTGCTGTTAGCGAGCACCTATGAAGGCCGGAACGGTACACGAGGGGGTGGGTGGCCAGCACCACGCCCGACCGCCTTTGTCTCCCCAGTGGCGATGTTTACACACCGCACCAGGTACTCATTTGAGGCTGAGTCGACCTAGGGGAGGCCCGGGACCGATTCAGATAACCGTCACTGGTGTTGGCCGTGAGCGGGAATCGAACCCGGGTCGCCAGGTTCATAGCGCAGCGTAGCGCTAACCACTACACTACCGCTCCTCACACACACACACATATACACACACACACCACCACACACACACACTCCACACACACACACACCTGTACACACCACACACCTGTACACACACACATATACACACACCACACACATATACACACCTGTACACACACCTGTACACACACCTGTACACACACATATACACACACCACACATATACACACCTGTACACACACACCTGTACACACACCACACACCTGTACACACACACATATACACACACCACACACATATACACCACACACCTATACACACACCTGTACACACACCACACACCTGTACACACACCTGTACACACACATACACACACACCACACCTGTACACACACACCACACACCTGTACACACACACACCACACACCTGTACACACACACATACACACACACCAGACCTGTACACACACACCACACAAGAACAAAGCTCCCCCGTGTAGCCTGTAACGGACTGTAGGGGCAAGTGCTGTTAGCGAGTAGCAGCAGCAGTGTCAATGTACTACACACACCACACACAGACAAAGCTCCCCCAGGTAGCCTCTAGCAGAGCTGTAGGGGCACGTGCTGTTAGCGAGCGAGTAGCAGCAGCAGTGTCTATGTACTACACACACCACACAGACAAAGCTCCCCCAGGTAGCCTCTAGCAGGGCTGCAGGGGCAAGTGCTGTTAGCTAGCGAGTAGCAGCAGCAGTGTCTATGTACTACACACACCACACACAAAGCTCCCACAGGTAGCCTCTAGCAGGGCTGTAGGGGCTCTCTCTCCCCCGTGTCTTTCTCTCCCCGTGTCTCTCTCTCTCCCCGTGTCTCTCTCTCTCCCCGTGTCTCTCTCTCTCCCCGTGTCTCTCTCTCTCCCCGTGTCTCTCTCTCTCCCCGTGTCTCTCTCTCCCCGTGTCTCTCTCTCTCCCCGTGTCTCTCTCTCTCCCCGTATCTCTCTCTCCCCGTGTCTCTCTCTCCCCGTGTCTCTCTCTCCCCGTGTGTGTCTCTCTCCCCGTATCTCTCTCTCCCCGTGTCTCTCTCTCTCCCCGTGTCTCTCTCTCTCCCCGTGTCTCTCTCTCTCCCCGTGTCTCTCTCTCTCCCCGTGTCTCTCTCTCTCCCCGTGTCTCTCTCTCTCCCCGTGTCTCTCTCTCCCCGTGTCTCTCTCTCTCCCCGTGTCTCTCTCTCTCCCCGTATCTCTCTCTCCCCGTGTCTCTCTCTCCCCGTGTCTCTCTCTCCCCGTGTGTGTCTCTCTCCCCGTGTCTCTCTCTCTCCCCGTGTCTCTCTCTCTCCCCGTGTCTCTCTCTCTCCCCGTATCTCTCTCCCCGTGTCTCTCTCTCCCCGTGTCTCTCTGTCCCCGTGTGTGTCTCTCTCCCCGTGTCTCTCTCTCTCCCCGTGTCTGTCTCCCCCCGTGTCTCCGCCCGTATGTCTCTCTCTCTCCGTGTCTCCCCCCGTGTCTCTCTCTCCCCGTGTCTCCCTCTCCCCGTGTCTCTCTCCCCGTGTCTCCCCCCGTCTCTCTCTCTCCCCGTGTCTCCCCCCGTGTCTCTCCCTACCCGTGTCTCCCTCTCCCCGTGTCTCTCCCCGTGTCTTTCTCCCCCCGTGTCTCTCTCCCTCCGTGTCTCTCTCGCCCCGTGTCTCTCTCCCCCCGTGTCTCTCTCCCCCCGTGTCTTTCTCTCCCCATGTCTCTCTCTCCCCGTGTCTCTCTCTCCCCGTGTCTCTCTCTCCTCGTGTCTCCCCCGTGTCTCTCTCTCCCCGTGTCTCCCCCCGTGTCTCCCCCCGTGTCCGTCTCCCCGTGTCTCCCCCCGTGTCTCCCCCCGTGTCTCTCCCCGTGTCTCTCCCCGTGTCTCTCCCCGTGTCTCTCCCCGTGTCTCTCTCCCCCTGTGTCTCTCCCCCTGTGTCTCTCCCCCTGTGTCTCTCCCCCTGTGTCTCTCCCCCTGTGTCTCCCCCACGTGTTTCTCCCCGTGTCTCTCCCCGTGTCTCTCCCCGTGTCTCTCTCCCCGTGTCTCTCTCTCCCCGTGTCTCTCTCCCCCCGTGTCTCTCTCTCCCCGTGTCTCTCTCTCTCTCCCCGTGTCTCTCTCTCTCCCCGTGTCTCTCTCTCCCCGTGTCTCCCTCTCCCCGTGTCTCTCTCTCCCCGTGTCTCCCCCCGTGTCTCTCTCTACCCGTGTCTCCCTCTCCCCGTGTCTCTCCCCGTGTCTCTCTCTCTCCCCGTGTCTCTCTCTCTCCCCGTGTCTCTCTCTCTCCCCGTGTCTCTCTCTCCCCGTGTCTCCCTCTCCCCGTGTCTCTCCCCGTGTCTCTCTCCCCGTGTGTCTCTCTCCCCGTGTCTCTCTCTCTCCCCGTGTCTCTCTCTCTCCCCGTGTCTCTCTCTCTCCCCGTGTCTCTCTCTCTCCCCGTGTCTCTCTCTCTCCCCGTGTCTCTCTCTCTCCCCGTGTCTCTCTCTCCCCGTGTCTCCCTCTCCCCGTGTCTCCCCCCGTGTGTCTCCCCGTGTCTCCCCGTGTCTCTCCCCGTGTCTCTCTCTCCCCGTGTCTCTCTCCCCGTGTCTCTCTCTCTCCCCGTGTCTCTCTCTCTCCCCGTGTCTCTCTCTCCCCGTGTCTCTCTCTCTCCCCGTGTCTCTCCCCGTGTGTCTCTCTCCCCGTGTCTCTCCCCGTGTGTCTCTCTCCCCGTGTCTCTCCCCGTGTCTCTCCCCGTGTGTCTCTCTCCCCGTGTCTCTCCCCGTGTCTCTCCCCGTGTCTCCCCCCGTGTGTCTCCCCGTGTCTCCGTCTCACCGATGGATGCGATGGCTGCCGCCGCCGCTGCTGCGGCTGCAGCCACGGCAGCCATCTGCTGCTTCTCCCGTTGCTCCTGCAGCTCCTTCTCACGCTGCTCCTGCAGCTGGCGAGACTTCTCTAGCCTGCAGCGGGGAGACACACACAGGGAGACAGAGAGACAGAGACACACGGTGAGACAGACACAGTGAGACAGAGACACAGTGAGACACAGAGACACACACAGGGAGACAGAGACACACAGAGACACACAGTGACACATAGTGAGACAGACACACAGTGAGACACAGTGAGACACGGTGAGACAGAGACACACAGTGAGACAGAGACACACAGAGACACACAGGGAGACAGAGACACACAGACACACACAGGGAGACAGAGACACACAGAGACACAGAGACAGAGACACGGAGACACAGAGAGACACACGGTGAGACAGACACACAGTGAGACACAGTGAGACACGGTGAGACAGCCTTCTCCAGCCTGCAGCGGGGAGACAGAGACACAGGGAGACACAGAGACAGACACGGAGACACACGGTGAGACAGAGACACAGTGAGACAGCCTTCTCCAGCCTGCAGCGGGGAGACAGACACACAGGGAGACAGAGACACACACAGACACACAGTGAGACAGCCTTCTCCAGCCTGCAGCGGGGAGACAGACACACAGGGAGACAGAGACACACAGAGACACACAGTGAGACAGAGACACAAAGACACACAGTGAGACACAGAGACACACACACAGACACACAGGGAGACAGAGACACACAGAGACACACAGTGAGACAGAGACACACACACAGACACACAGGGAGACAGCCTTCTCCAGCCTGCAGCGGGGAGACAGACACACAGGGAGACAGAGACACACAGTGAGACAGAGACACACAGGGAGACAGAGACACACAGGGAGACAGAGAGACGCACGGTGAGAGACACACAGTGAGACAGCCTTCTCCAGCCTGCAGCAGGGAGACAGAGACACACAGGGAGACAGAGACACAGTGAGACAGAGACACACAGTGAGACAGAGACACACAGTGAGACAGAGACACACAGTGAGACAGAGACACACAGGGAGACAGAGACACACCTGGTGAGACAGAGACACACCTGGTGAGACAGAGACACACAGGGAGACACAGAGACACACAGGGAGACACAGAGACACACAGGGAGACACAGAGACACACAGGGAGACACAGACACACAGTGAGACAGAGACACACAGTGAGACAGAGACACACAGTGAGACAGCCTTCTCCAGCCTGCAGCGGGGGAGACAGAGACACACAGGGAGACAGAGACACACCTGGTGAGACAGAGACACACCTGGTGAGACAGAGACACACCTGGTGAGACAGAGACACCTGGTGAGACAGAGACACACCTGGTGAGACAGAGACACACAGGGAGACACAGAGACACACAGGGAGACACAGAGACACACAGGGAGACACAGAGACACACAGTGAGACAGAGACACACAGTGAGACAGAGACACACAGTGAGACACAGAGACACACAGGGAGACACAGAGACACACAGTGAGACAGAGACACACAGTGAGACAGAGACACACCTGGTGAGACAGAGACACACCTGGTGAGACAGAGACACACAGTGAGACAGAGACACACCTGGTGAGACAGAGACACACAGTGAGACACAGAGACACACCTGGTGAGACAGAGACACACAGAGACACACAGTGAGACAGAGACACACCTGGTGAGACAGAGACACACAGAGACACACAGTGAGACAGAGACACACCTGGTGAGACAGAGACACACCTGGTGAGACAGAGACACACAGTGAGACAGAGACACACAGTGAGACAAAGACACACAGGGAGACAGAGACACACCTGGTGAGACAGAGACACACAGTGAGACAGAGACACACAGAGAGACAGAGACACACAGTGAGACAGAGACACACCTGGTGAGACAGAGACACACAGTGAGACAGAGACACACAGTGAGACAAAGACACACAGTGAGACAGAGACACACAGAGAGACAGAGACACACAGGGAGACAGAGACACACAGTGAGACAGAGACACACAGTGAGACAGAGACACACAGTGAGACAGAGACACACCTGTTGAGACAGAGACACACCTGGTGAGACAGAGACACACCTGGTGAGACAGAGACACACCTGGTGAGACAGAGACACACAGTGAGACAGAGACACACACAGTGAGACAGAGACACACACGGTGAGACAGAGACACACAGTGAGACAGAGACACACACAGTGAGACAGAGACACACACAGTGAGACAGAGACACACACAGTGAGACAGAGACACACACAGTGAGACAGAGACACACACGGTGAGACAGAGACACACCTGGTGAGACAGAGACACACCTGTTGAGACAGAGACACACCTGGTGAGACAGAGACACACCTGGTGAGACAGAGACACACCTGGTGAGACAGAGACACAGAGACACAGAGACACACCTGGTGAGACAGAGACACAGAGACACAGAGACACACCTGGTGAGACAGAGACACACAGTGAGACAAAGACACACCTGGTGAGACAGAGACACACCTGGTGAGACAGAGACACACCTGGTGAGACAGAGACACACCTGGTGAGACAGAGACACAGAGACACAGAGACACACCTGGTGAGACAGAGACACACAGTGAGACAGAGACACACCTGGTGAGACAGAGACACACCTGGTGAGACAGAGACACACCTGGTGAGACAGAGACACACAGGGAGACAGAGACACACCTGGTGAGACAGAGACACACAGTGAGACAAAGACACACAGGGAGACAGAGACACACAGGGAGACAGAGACACACAGGGAGACACAGAGACACACAGGGAGACAGAGACACACCTGGTGAGACAGAGACACACAGGGAGACAGAGACACACAGGGAGACACAGAGACACACAGGGAGACACAGACACACAGGGAGACAGAGACACACCTGGTGAGACAGAGACACACCTGGTGAGACAGAGACACACAGTGAGACAGAGACACACCTGGTGAGACAGAGACACACACAGTGAGACAGAGACACACACAGTGAGACAGAGACACACAGTGAGACAGAGACACACAGTGAGACAGAGACACACCTGGTGAGACAGAGACACACAGTGAGACAGAGACACACCTGGTGAGACAGAGACACACCTGGTGAGACAGAGACACACAGTGAGACAGAGACACACAGTGAGACAGAGACACACCTGGTGAGACAGAGACACACCTGGTGAGACAGAGACACACAGTGAGACAGAGACACACAGGGAGACAGAGACACACAGTGAGACAGAGACACACAGTGAGACAGAGACACACAGGGAGACAGAGACACACCTGGTGAGACAGAGACACACAGTGAGACAGAGACACACAGGGAGACAGAGACACACAGTGAGACAGAGACACACCTGGTGAGACAGAGACACACCTGGTGAGACAGAGACACACAGTGAGACAGAGACACACAGGGAGACAGAGACACACAGTGAGACAGAGACACACCTGGTGAGACAGAGACACACCTGGTGAGACAGAGACACACACAGTGAGACAGAGACACACACAGGGAGACAGAGACACAGTGAGACAGAGACACACAGTGAGACAGAGACACACACAGGGAGACACAGAGACACACCTGGTGAGACAGAGACACACAGGGAGACAGAGACACACAGGGAGACAGAGACACACAGGGAGACAGAGACACACAGTGAGACAGAGACACACAGTGAGACAGACACACAGGGAGACACAGAGACACACCTGGTGAGACAGAGACACACAGTGAGACAGAGACACACAGGGAGACAGAGACAAACAGTGAGACAGAGACACACAGGGAGACAGAGACAAACAGTGAGACAGAGACAAACAGTGAGACAGAGACACACAGTGAGACAGAGACACACAGTGAGACAGAGACACACAGTGAGACAGAGACACACAGGGAGACAGAGACACACCTGGTGAGACAGAGACACAGTGAGACAGAGACACACAGTGAGACAGAGACACACAGTGAGACAGAGACACACAGTGAGACAGAGACACACAGTGAGACAGAGACACACAGTGAGACAGAGACACACCTGGTGAGAGAGGGGGGAGAGAGAGTGATCGAGCGACTGAGTGTGTGAATGAGTGTGCAACTGAGTGTGTGAATGAGTGTGCAACTAAGTGAGTGTGTGAGTGTGTGTGTGAGTGAGTGTGTGAGTGAGTGTGTGAGTGTGTGAGTGAATGTGCGAGTGAGTGTGCGAGTGAGTTGTTGTGAGTGCGTGAGTGAGTTTGTGAGTGGATGATTGGATGAGTGAGTGTGAGGAGTGAGTAGGTGAGTGAGTGGGTGAGTGAGTGGGTGGGTGAGTGAGTGTGTGAGTGAGCGTGTGTGTGAGTGAGTGAGTGTGTGAGTGAGTGGTGAGTGTGTGAGTGAGTGAGTGTGTGAGTGTGTGAGTGAATGTGTGAGTGAGTGTGTCAGTGAGTTTGTGTGAGTGCGTGAGTGAGTTTGTGAGTGCGTGAGTGGATGAGTGAGTGTGAGTGGTGTGTAGGTGAGTGAATGGGTGAGTGAGTGGGTGAGTGAGTGAGTGAGTGGGTGAGTGAGCGAGTGAGTGGGTGAGTGAGTGGGTGGGTGAGTGTGTGAGTGAGTGAGTGGATGAGTGTGTGAGTGGTAAGTGTGTGAATGAGTGTGTGTGTGTGCGAGTGAGTGAATGTGTGAGTGTGTGTGTGAGTGTGTGAGTGGGAGTGAGTGAGTGAGTGGGTGAGTGAGTGAGTGAGTGGGTGAGTGAGTGGGTGGGTGAGTGTGTGAGTGAAGGATGAGTGTGTGAGTGGTAAGTGTGTGAATGAGTGTGTGTGTGTGCGCGAGTGAGTGAATGAATGTGTGAGTGAGTGGGTGAGTGAGTGTGTGAGTGAGTGTGTGAGTGTGTGAGTGAGTGGGTGAATGAGTGAGTGAGTGGGTGAGTGAGTGGGTGGTGAGTGGGTGAGTGGGTGAGTGTGTGAGTGTGTGAGTGAGTGGGTGAGTGAGCGGGTGAGTGAGTGAGTGTGTTAGTGTGTAAGTGAGTGTGTGTGTGAGTGTGTGTGTGAATGAGTGTGTGTGTGAGTGAGTGAATGAGTGAATGTGTGTGAGTGGTGAGTGGGTGAGTGTGTGAGTGGGTGGGTGGGTGAGTGTGTGAGTGGGTGGGTGAGTGGTGAGTGAATGAGTGAGTGTGTGAGTGAGTGTGTGAGCGTGTGAGTATGTGAGTGGTAAGTGAGTGTGTGAGTGAGTGAGTGTGTGAGTGAGTGGGTGAGTGGATGAGTGTGTGAGTGAGTGTGTGAGTATGTGAGTGGGTGAGTGGATGTGTGAGTGAGTGAGTGTATGAGTGAGTGAGTGTGTGAGTGGTGAGTGAGTGAGTGGGTCAGTGAGTGAGTGTGTGAGTGTGTGGATGAGTGGGTGAGTGGTGAGTGAGTGAGTGGGTGAGTGAGTGAGTGTGTGAGTGGGTGAGTGAGTGGTGAGTGAGTGAGTGGTGAGTGAGTGAGTGTGTGGATGAGTGGGTGAGTGAGTGTGTGAGTGGGTGAGTGAGTGAGTGAGTGGTGAGTGAGTGACTGAGTGAGTGTGTGAGTGTGTGAGTGAGTGTGTTAGTGTGTGAGTGTGTGAGTGAGTGTGTGAATGAGTGTGTGTGTGAGTGAATGAGTGTGTGAGTGTGTGAGTGGATGAGTGTGTGAGTGAATGAGTGAGTATGTGAGTGAGTGTGTGAGTGAGTGTGTGAGGAGCGGAGGCGCCGTGATAGGGCTGCTGCTACCTGCGGGCGAGCACCTGCTGAGCCTGCACAGCGTGCTGCTGCTGCTGCTGCTGCTGCTTGGGACTTTCCGACTCGCTCCGGGGGGCACTGTGTGCCCTGTGGCTGCGGGAACCTCGCTTCCTGGAGGGCACGGGGTGGGGAGGTGACACCGTGAACTCCAAACACACAGCCACACACACACACTCACACACACCCACACACACAGCCACACTCACACACACCCACACACACAGCCACCCACACACACACACAGCCACACACACACACAGCCACACACTCACTCACCCACACACACACACAGCCACACACACACAGCCACACACCCACACACACACTCACTCACCCACCCACACACTCTTCCACACACTCACTCACCCACACACACACCCACACACCCACACAGCCACACACACACCCACACACCCACACACCCACACACACACACAGCCACACACACACACACACCCACTCACCCACTCACCCACTCACCCACCCACACACCCACCCACACACCCACACACACACAACAACAACAACAACAACCGCCATTCGCCACTAAGTGGCGGTGACGTCACCACGACGCTTGTGCCAGGCTATGTGCACCCTGAGGCCACGTGAAGTGTCGAACGCCCGCTGGCAGGAGGTCACGGGGCAGACCCAGGTGCCACGGGTCGACTGACTGAGATGACTGGCTGATGCACCACCTGTGCCCCCTACTGTGCCAACCTGCTGTGCTTTAGCCACCCGGCGCTCCGCTCGCTGTTGTGAGCGTCGCTCCTCCGCCCTCCGTTGTTGTTGGAGGGCGACTGCCTCCAACTGCCCAGTAGCATCCTTCACGAGCCTCCTCCACAGAGGCCGATCTTGACACCGCTGGTACCAGTCATCGGCAAGTCCACTCAGCTCCACGTCCTCCTGTACCACATCACTCCATCTCTTCTCTAGCCCGTGCCGCGCCCGCTTAGCCCCCTCAATCCGGCCAAACAAAAGCTGTTTCGGCATGCGGTGGCTGGGCATGCGGGCTACATGACCCAGCCATCGCAGCCTTGCCTGCCGGAGGAGCTCACCGATGGGACCCTGCCCAGATCTTTCAAGGATTTGTGAGCTCCTCACACAATCCAGTCTGGTTAAACCCAGGATGGATCGTAGGCAGGTCAGCCTAAATGTTTCTAACCGGCGAAGATGTTCCATTAGGGGGGTCCACGTTTCGCAAGCGTAGAGAAGGGAGGGAATGACCGTGGCCGAGAAGACCTGAAGCTTAGTGCGGAGCGACAGACCAGGTAGCTTCCACACAGCGTTACGCAACCGATGAAAAGATATTGCCGCTCGACTGATTCGGAGTGAGACCTCTGCTGGTAAACTGGAGCCAGTCATAAGCACACTGCCCAGGTATGGGAAACTCTCCACTCTCTCCACAACTGCCCCATCACCGATTGGGAGTTGTGGGGGCGGAGTGTCCGATGGTACAAAATACCCAGGCAGGTGCTTAGTTTTGGTGGGGCTGATGGTAAGGCCCCACCTCTTAGTGGCACGCTCCAGTCTCAGCAGCAGCGTCTCCAACTCCTCCTCTGACTGAGCAGCTATTACCAAGTCATCAGCATACATAACGTGGTTGAGCAATAGGGAGCCATCCCTTGACCGCACCCGGGCATCGATTAGCCTCCCATTATATCTGTACCATATGGAGATTCCCACGGTACAGCTATTGAAGGCTTCACGAACTACGTGGTCAAAATAGATGTTAAATAATGTGGGAGCCAGAGGACATCCCTGTCGCACCCCAAGGTGTACAGGGAATGGCTCTGACTCCCGGCCACGTAGTTTTACCCGGGCCCGCTCACCATCATGAAGGTCCTTAATGATCGTGAGCAGAGGGTCAGGTACTCCAAAAGCACGAAGAACGACCCAGAGCCCAGGCCTACTGATGGTATCATAGGCCTTGACCAGGTCAATAAAGCAGAGATGTAGGTCTTGTTGGAATTCCCTACACCTCTGCTGTAGCAGACGGACAGAAAATATGGCATCTGTGCAGGACCGCCCTTTCCTGAAACCGCATTGGGGCTCCGCAAGCCTCTCCTCAGCGTGCCTGGCAAGGCGATGCTGAATAATCCTTGCCAGGACCTTTCCCGGCACACTGAGGAGTGAGATGCCCCTGTAGTTGTTACAGTCTGTGCGGTCCCCCTTCTTAAAAAGGGGGACCACCAGGGCATCCTTCCAATCCTGCGGAACCCGTCCAGTGGTCCAGACTGTTGTTATGATGTCATATAGGGCAGTCTGTGCACAAACGCCACCCTCCCTCAGCATTTCGCTTGGGAGATCATCTCTGCCCGCTGCCTTTCCTGGTCTCAGACTCCGGATCGCCTTCAATACTTCCTCAGCAGATGGCACCTCAGCCAGCCACTCACAGGGGGTGACTTCATCCAATATTTGAGGCACCGCAGCCTCAGCAGGGTCATCCTCACTTTGTGCCACGATGTTTTCCTGGCTGTGGGATTTTCCCTCCCCCAGGACCTCACAGAAATGCTCAGCAAATCTGCGAACCTGTTCCTGGGGGTCGGAAATTGGATCACCGTTTTTTCCCCTAATGATGGTAATAGGTGTGGCGCTGCAGGTTACTTTTTTGATGGAGTTAAATAGCGATTTGTGATCACGGGCCACTGAGGCAGACTCCATCTCCTCAGCAACCCGCGACCACCACCCATCCTTGCAGCGCCTCACGGCTCTCCGAACCTCCGAGCGAAGGCTGCGGTAAGCCTCCTCATTCTCTGACGTGGGATTCTGTAGCCGATGACAGTGGGCCTGTCGCTTTTTCTCAACCATCCTGAACAACTCCTCTGTCATCCAGGGTGTCTGGGGAGGTCTGGACCGCGTACCCAAAGCAGCCATTGCAGCTGCATGAGTCACAGTCCTAAACCTCGCCCATTTACCCTCGACATCAGGAGGAGTCGGGGACGATGCCAATCCCAGCTGCAAGCGATGATGAAATTCTCGCTTGCAACTTTCATCAGATAACTGAGACCAGGCCACTTTAGGTTGGAATGGGGTCCTGGGTGTACACCCACCACCGGAGTGGAAGAATGGCAGGCGCATCTTACAGATGACTAGTCGATGGTCAGAGGGCAGATCAGCTCCACGGTAGGTCCTGGTGTCAAGGACATGGGCTCGCATTCGCTGGTCCGTCACTATGTAGTCCAGCAGATGTTCTTGCTTGGACCCGGCATGCATCCATGATGTTGTGTGGATGCGCCGATGCCGGAACAGCGTGTTGGTAATTACAAGCCCATGGGCTGCACAAAAATCTAGCAGCCTCCTACCGTTGTTATTGAGCTGATCTGGCCCATGCCCTCCAATCACTCCAGACCAGGTGCCAGTATCATGACCAACTCGGGCATTGAAGTCACCCAGCATGATGACTCTATCCCGAGGGGCCACTTTAGCCAGCACCTGTGACAGGAGGTCATAGAAGGCATCTGACTCATCGGCTTTGCCTGCATCCCTCCACGGATGTTCATCTTCGGTGGGGGCATAAGTAACCACGACCACCATTCCTCGCCTCCGGTTGATGGGAAGGCGAGCCCAAAGTAGCCTGGGGCTTACAGCTTCCCACACCTCACCGCCACGCTCCCACGCCCCCTTCATTCTTTTGTTCAAAAGAAGACCCACACCCTGTTGTTTGGCAGTCTGCTGCCCCGAGTAGAGGACTGTCCACCCCTCATGGTGGCAGGAGCCAGAGCCGGTCCACCGGACCTCCTGAATGCCGCATAGATCCAGGCGGTACCGGTCCAGCTCCCGACAGAGGAGTGGCAGCCTCTCCTCTGCAGTGAGCGTTCGAACATTCCACGTGGCCACCCGTAGTGGCTTTTCGTTGTTTCTGGAGTAGCCCCGAGGGTAGGTATTCAATCTCCTGGCTCCGCCAATTGGGGTTTGGCCAGGAGACGTCATAGACGCCTGGCCCCCCGGGGCCTCCGGCACAAGCTTAGTTGTTACATATTTCACTTTAATTCGTGGTTTTGTGGTAATTAATTGAAGGTGGAGGGGTTACCAGCCCCTCGCACCCGTCCAGAGCCCCCGTTTAGCCCCTGTGGTGGACACATATGCCATGAGGGGAGGAGCCAATCAAAATTGGAACTCCCCCCACAGCACTGTCCACGACAGAGTTGCCCGTCCGGCACCGCGAGGAGGTAGGGGGTTGTTTTGCCGTACCACACACACACCCACTCACACACACCCACTCACCCACACACCGGCACACCCACACACCCACCCACTCATCCACCAACTCATCCACACACCCACACACCCACACACCAACTCATCCACACACCCACACACCCACCCACCCGCTCAACCGCCCACCCACCCACCCGCTCAACCGCCCACCCACCCACTCGCCCACCCACACACCCAACCGCCCACCCACCCACCCACTCACCCACCCACCCACCAACTCACGCACCCACCTGCGGCTGGGTGAGCGGTGGTCTCTGCTGCGTGAGCGACGACGTTCCCGTGACCTCGACCTGCCCACACACACCCACACACTTACTTACACACTTACTCACTTACACACTTACACACTCACTTACACACACTTACACCCACACACTTACACACTTACTCACTTACACACACTTACTTACTTACACACACACTTACACACTCACACACACACACTTACTTACTTACTTACACACTTACACACACTTACTCACTTACACACACTTACTCACTTACACACTTACACACACTTACTCACACTTACTCACTTACACACACACACACTCACCCACACACACACACTCACCCACCCACACACATTCACCCACACACACACATTCACCCACTTACCCACCCACTCACCCACCCACCCACTCACCCACCCACTCACCCACCCACCCACCCACTCACCCACCCACCCACCCACCTGCGGCTGGGTGAGCGGTGGTCTCTGCTGCGTGAGCGACGACGTTCCCGTGACCTCGACCTGCCCACACACACACACACACTTACTCACACACTTACACACACACTTACTTACACACACACTCACACACTCACACACTTACTTACACACTTACTTACACACTTACACTCACTTACACACACTCACACACTTACTCACTTACACACACACCCACTTACACACACTCACACTTATTCACACACCCACCCACACACCCACTCACACACACTTACTTACCCACACACACAGTCTCACACTCACCCACACCCAGCCACTTACTCACTTACCCACACACTTACTTACCCGCACACACACCCACACACTTACTCACTTACCCACACACACTCACCCACACACCCACACACTCACCCACACACACACTTACCCATGCACACACCTACTTACTCACTCACCCACCCACCCACACACCCACTTCCCCATACACTCACCCAGACTCACTTACCCACCCACACACCCACTCACTCACCCACCCACACACACTCACCCACCCACTCACTCACGCACTCACCCACACACACTCACCCACCCACTCACTCACGCACTCACCCACACACCCACCCACACACACACTCACCCACCCACACACCCACTCACCCACTCACCCACACACTCACCCACCCACCCACACACCCACACAAAGATAAAGACAAAGATCCCCCATATAGCCTTAACAGACTGTAGGGGCAAGTGCTGTTAGCGAGCACCTATGAAGGCCGGAACGGTACACGAGGGGGTGGGTGGCCAGCACCACGCCCGACCGCCTTTGTCTCCCCAGTGGCGATGTTTACACACCGCACCAGGTACTCATTTGAGGCTAAGTCGACCTAGGGGAGGCCCGGGACCGGTTCAGTTTATCGCCACACACTCACCCACTCACCCACACACTCACCCACACACTCACCCACACACTCACCCACACACTCACCCACACACCCACCCACACACCCACTCACCCACCAACACACACTCACCCACCCACACACACACTCACCCACACACCCACACACTCACCCACACACCCACTCATCCACCCACCCACCCACCCACTCACTCACCCACCCACACACTCACCCACCCACACACCTACCCACCCACTCACCCACACACCCACTCATCCACTCACCTGCGGCTAGGTGAGCGGTGGTCTCTGCTGCGTGAGTGGTGACGTTCCCGTGACCTCGACCTGCCCACCCAACCGGAGGTCAGGGTCAGCGTCTCCACCATCACCATCACCAACATCACCAGTGGCAACATCATCATCAACATCGTCATCATCATCAACATCGTCATCATCGTCAACATCATCACCTTCACCAACATCATCACCTTCACCAACATTATCACCAGCGGCAACATTATCATCGTCAACATCATCATCGTCAACATCAACATCATCAACATCGTCATCATCGTCAACATCATCACCTTCACCAACATCACCATCGTCAACATCACCATCGTAAACATCGTCAACATCATCATCATCATCGTCAACATCATCATCGTCAACATCATCATCGTCAACATCATCATCGTCAACATCACCATCATCATCATCATCGTCAACATCATCATCGTCAACATCATCATCATCGTCAACATCACCATCGTAAACATCGTCAACATCGTCATCATCGTCAACATCATCGTCAAAATCATCATCATCGTCAACATCACCATCGTCAACATCACCATCGTCAACATCACCATCGTCAACATCATCATCGTCAACATCATCATCATCGTCAACATCACCATCGTCAACATCATCATCGTCAACATCATCATCATCAACATCACCATCGTCAACATCGTCAACATCATCAACATCGTCATCATCGTAAACATCATGACCATCACCAACATCACCATCGTCAACATCAACATCGTCATCATCATCACCATCGTCATCATCGTCAACATCATCACCTTCACCAACATCATCACCTTCACCAACATCACCATCGTCAACATCACCATCGTCAACATCACCATCGTCATCATCATCAACATCGTCATCATCGTAAACATCGTCAACATCGTCATCATCGTCAACATCGTCATCATCGTCAACATCGTCACCTTCACCAACATCACCATCATCAACATTATCATCATCGTCAACATCACCATCGTCAACATCATCATCGCCAACATCACCATCGTCATCATCGTCAACATCATCAACATCGTCATCATCGTCAACATCATCAACATCGTCATCATCGTCAACATCATCACCTTCACCAACATCACCATCGTCAACATTATCATCGTCAACATTATCATCATCGTCAACATTATCATCATCGTCAACATCATCATCGTCAACATCATCATCGTCAACATCACCATCGTCAACATCGTCAACATCATCAACATCGTCATCATCGTAAACATCATCACCATCACCAACATCACCATCGTCAACATCACCATCGTCAACATCACCATCGTCAACATCACCATCGTCAACATCACCAGCAACATCATCATCGTTAACATCATCACCATCACCAACATCACCAGCGGCAACATCATCATCACCACCACCATTACCAACAACATCAACATCACCGAATGGTGGTTGTTGTTGTGTGAGTAGGTGAGTAGGTGAGTTTGTGGGTGAGAGTGTAGGTGAGTGTGGTGTGTAGGTGAGTGTGTAGGTGAGTGTGTAGGTGAGTGTGTAGGTGAGTGAGTGTGCAGGTGAGTGAGTGTGTGGGTGAGAGTGTAGGTGAGTGTGTAGGTGAGAGTGTAGGTGAGAGTGTAGGTGAGAGTGTAGGTGAGTGTGGTGTGTAGGTGTGTAGGTGAGTGTGTGGGTGAGAGTGTAGGTGAGTGTGTAGGTGAGTGTGTGAGTGGGTGAGTGTGTGAGTGTGTAGGCGAGTGTGGGTGAGAGTGTAGGTGGGTGTGTAGGTGAGTGTGTAGGTGAGTGTGTAGGTGAGTGAGTAGGTGAGTAGGTGAGTGTGTGAGAGTGTGGGTGAGTGTGTAGGTGAGAGTGTAGTGTGTAGGTGGGTGTGTAGGTGAGTGTGTAGGTGAGTGTGTAGGTGTGTGAGTAGGTGTGTAGATGAGTGTGTGAGTGTGTAGGTTAGTGTGTAGGTGAGCGTGTAGGTGTGTAGGTGAGCGTGTAGGTGTGTCGGTGAGTGAGTAGGTGATTACCTGGATCTGTGAGATTTGCTACGTGAACGTTTCCTCTTGTGGGTCTTTCTCCTGACGCGCACACAAACACTCACCGTTACTCACCATCACTCACCATCACTCACTCACCAATCCACTCATCCACGCACCTACCCACACACTCACACTGACCCACTCACCGACCCACCCACCCACACTCACTCTGACTCACACGGACTCACCCACCCCCCACAACACCCCACCCCCCACACCCACTGACACAACAACCGCCATTCGCCACCAAGTGGTGGTGACGTCACCACGACGCTTGTGCCAGGCTATGTGCACCCTGAGGCCACGTGAAGTGTCGAACGCCCGCTGGCAGGAGGTCACGGGGCAGACCCAGGTGCCACGGGTCGACTGACTGAGACGATTGGCTGATGCACCACCTGTGCCCCCTACTGTGCCAACCTGCTGTGCTTTAGCCACCCGGCGCTCCGCTCGTTGTTGTGAGCGTTGCTCCTCCGCCCTCCGTTGTTGTTGGAGGGCGACTGCCTCCAACTGCCCAGTAGCGTCCTTCACGAGCCTCCTCCACAGAGGCCGATCTTGACACCGCTGGTACCAGTCATCGGCCAAGTCCACTCAGCTCCACGTCCTCCTGTACCACATCACTCCATCTCTTCTCTAGCCCGTGCCGCGCCCGTTTTGCCCCCTCGATCCGCCCGAACAAAAGCTGTTTCGGCATGCGGTGGCTGGGCATGCGGGCTACATGACCCAGCCAACGCAGCCTTGCCTGCCGGAGGAGCTCACCGATGGGACTTTGTCCAGATCTTTCAAGGATTTGTGAGCTCCTCACACAATCCAGTCTGGTTAAACCCAGGATGGATCGTAGGCAGGCCAGCCTGAATGTTTCTAACCGGCGAAGATGTTCCATTAGGGGGGGTCCACGTTTCGCAAGCGTAGAGAAGGGAGGGAATGACCGTGGCCAAGAAGACCTGAAGCTTAGTACGGAGCGACAGACCAGGTAGCTTCCACACAGCGTGACGCAACCGATGAAAAGATATTGCCGCTCGACTGATTCGGAGTGAGACCTCTGCTGTTAAACTGGAGCCGGTCATAAGCACACTGCCCAGGTATGAGAAACTCTCCACTCTCTCCACATCTGCCCTATCACCAATTGGGAGTTGTGGGGGTGGAGTGTCTGATGGTACAAAATACCCAGGCAGGTGCTTAGTTTTGGTGGGGCTGATGGTAAGTCCCCACCTCTTAGTGGCAAGCTACAGTTTCAGCAGCAGCACCTCCAACTCCTCCTCCGAGTGAGCAGCAATTACCAGATCGGCATTCTTAACGGGGTTGACCAATTGGGAGTCATCCCTTGACCGCACCCGGGCATCGATTAGCCTCCCATTATATCTGTACCAGATGGAAATTCCTCCAGTAGAGATATGGAAGGCTTCACGAACTACGTGGTCAAAATAGATGTTAAATAATGTGAGAGCCAGAGGACATCCCTGTTGCACCCCAAGGTGTACAGGGAATGGCTCTGACTCCCGGCCACTTAGTTTTATCCGGGCCAGCTCACCATCATGAAGGTCCTTAATGATCGTGAGCAGAGTGTCAGGGACTCCAAAAGCATTAAGAACAACCCAGAGCCCAGGCCTACTGATGGTATCATAGGCCTTGACCAGGTCAATGAAGCAGAGATGTAGGTCGTTGGAATTCCCTACACCTCTGCTGTAGCAGACGGACAGAAAATATGGCATCTGTGCAGGACCGCCCTTTCCTGAAACCGCATTGGGGCTCCGCAAGCCTCTCCTCAGCGTGCCTGGCAAGGCGATGCTGAATAATCCTTGCCAGGACCTTTCCCGGCACACTGAGGAGTGAGATGCCCCTGTAGTTGTTACAGCCTGTGCGGTCCCCCTTCTTAAAGAGGGGGGCCACCAGGGCATCCTTCCAATCCTGCGTAACCCGTCCAGTGGTCCAGACTGTTGTTAGGATGTCATATAGGGCAGTCTGTGCACAAACACCAGCCTCCCTCAGCATTTCGCTTGGGTGATCATCTCTGCCCGGTGCCTTTCCTAGTCTCAGACTACGGATCGCCCTCAGTACTTCCTCAACAGATGGCACCTCAGCCAGCCACCCACAGGGGGTGACTTCTTCCAATATTTGAGGCACCGCAGCCTCAGCAGGGTCATCCCCAGCTTGTCCTACGTTGTTTTCCTGGCTGAGGGATTTCCCCTCCCCCAGGATCTCACAGAAATGCTCAGCAAATCTGCAAACCTGTTCCTGGGGGTCAGAGATTGGATCACCGTTCTTTCCCCTAATGATGGTAATAGGTGTGGCGCTGCAGGTTACTTTTTTGATGGAGTTAAATAGAGTTTTGTGATCGTGGGCCACTGAGGCAGACTCCATCTCCTCAGCAACCCGCGACCACCACCCATCCTTGCAGCGCCTCACGGCTCTCCGAACCTTTGAGCGAAGGCTGCGGTAAGCCTCCTAAATTCTCTGACGTGAGATGCTGTAGCCGATGAGAGTGGTCCTGTCGCTTTTTCTCAGCCAGCTTGACCACCTCCTCTGTCAGCCAGGGTCCCTGGGGAGGTCTGGACCGCGTACCCAAAGCAGCCATTGCAGCTGCATGAGCCACAGTCTAAACCTCGCCCATTTCCCCTCGACATCAGGAGGAGTGGGGGACGATGCCAACCCCAGCCGCAAGCAATGATACAATTCTCGCTTGCAACTTTCATCAGCTAGCTGAGACCATGCCACTAAGGGTTTGAATGAGGTCCTGGGTGTACACCCACCACCGGAGTGGAAGAATAGCAGGTGCATCTTACAGATGACAAGTTGATGGTCAGAGGGCAGATCAGCTCCACGGTAGGTCCTGGTGTCAAGGACATGGGCTCGCATCCGCTGGTCCGTCACTATGTAGTCCAGCAGATGTTCTTGCTTGGATCCCGGCATGCATCCATGATGTTGTGTGGATGCGCCGATGCCGGAACAGCGTGTTGGTAATTACAAGCCCATGGGTTGCACAAAAATCTAGCTGCCTCCTACCGTTGTTATTGAACTGTTCTGGCCCATGCCTTCCAATCACTCCAGACCAGGTGCCAGCATCATGACCAACTCGGGCATTGAAGTCACCCAAACAAGATGAGTCTATCCCGAGGGGCCACTTTAGCCAGCACCTGTGACAGGAGGTCATAGAAGGCATCTGACTCATCGGCCTTACCTGCATCCCTCCACGGATGTTCGTCTTCGGTGGGGGCATAAGTAACCACGACCACCACCCCTCGCCTCCGGTTGATGGGAAGGCGAGCCCAAAGTAGCCTGGGGCTTACAGCTTCCCACACCTCACCGCCACGCTCCCACACCCCCTTCATTCTTTTGTTCAGAGAAGAGCCACTCGCTGTTGTTTGGCAGTCTCCTGCCCCGAGTAGAGGACTGTCCACCCTTCATGGTGGCAGGAGCCAGAGCCGGTCCACCGGACCTCCTGAATGCCACGGAGATTTAGGCGGTACCGGTCCAGCTCCCGACAGAGGAGTGGCAGCCTCTTCTCCGCAGTGAGCGTTCGAACATTCCACGTGGCCACACAAAGTGGCTTTTTGCTGTTTCTGGAGGAGCCCCGAGGGTAGAGATTCAATCTCCTGGCTCCGCCAATTGGGGTTTGGCCAGGAGACGTCATAGACGCCTGTCCCCCCGGGGCCTCCGGCACAAGCTTATTACGTTTTTTGCACCCACCCACCCACTCACTTTGACCTACCCACCCACCCACACTGACCCACCCACTCACACTGACCCACCCACTCACACTGACCCACCCACTCACACTGACCCACTCACTCACACTGACTCACCCACTCACACTGACCCACTCACTCACACTGACCCACCCACTCACTCACACTGACCCACCCACTCACTCACACTGACCCACCCACTCACACTGACCCACTCACTCACACTGACCCACTCACTCACTCACACTGACCCACTCACTCACTCACTCACACTGACCCACTCACTCACACTGACCCACTCACTCACTCACACTGACCCACCCACCCACTCACTCTGACCCACCCACTCACTCACACTGACCCACCCACACAACCACTCACTCACTCACACTGACCCACCCACCCACTCACACTGACCCACCCACTCACTCACACTGACCCACTCACTCACACACTGACCCACCCACACAACCACTCACTCACTCGCTCTGACCCACCCACCCACTCACACTGACCCACCCACTCACTCCGACCCACCCACTCACTCACACACTGACCCACCCACACAACCACTCACCCACTCACACTGACCCACCCACTCACACTGACCCACCCACACAACCACTCACACTGACCCACCCACCCACTCACTCACACACTGACCCACCCACACAACCACTCACCCACTCACACTGACCCACCCACCCACTCACACACTGACCCACCCACTCACTCACACACTGACCCACCCACACAACCACTCACTCGCTCGCTCTGACCCACCCACCCACACTCCCACCCACACCCTCCCCCCGCCCACCTATCCCTGGAGCGTGACGTGGAGCGTGCCCGCGAGTGGGAGCGTTTGCCACGTGACGTCACCCTCACGGACGCCTCTCTCCCCCCCTCCTCCTCCTCCTCCTCCTCCTTCCTGTGGCTCCTCCTCCGCTCTCCATCACCGCGTTGATGCCGCTGGTGATTGTGGCCGCCGCCGCCGCCGGCCGTGGCTTTGCCGCCGTTGCCACCGCCGCTGCCGCCGGATCTCCCGCCGGTAACGGCGGCCGCCGCCTCTCCCCAAGGAGGCTGCAGCCGGACGTCCTGTGCCGGGACAAGCGTGCCGTCTTTCTCACCGGGGACGCGGAGCGGGGAGGGGAGGGAGGGGAGGGAGGGAGGGGGAGGGGGGGGGGCGGTGTGGCCGGCACAACAACGGTGACGGCAAGGCAGCGGCGGCGACAGCGTTAGTGGTGGCCGGCGCCGCTCCCCCACCCACACACCACCACCCACGCACCACCACCCACGCACCACCACCCACCCACCACACACCCACCGCCACCCACCCACCGCCACCACACACCCACCACCACCACACACCCACCACCACCACACACCCACCACCACCACACACCCACCACCACACACCCACCACCACCACACACCCACCACCACCACACACCCACCACCACACACCCACCACCACCACCACACACCCACCACCACCACACACCCACCACCACACACCCACCACGCACCCACCACACACCCACCACCACACACCCACCACCACCCACCCACCACCACCCACCACCACACACCCACCACCACCCACCCACCACCACCCACCACCACACACCCACCACCACCACCCACCACACACCCACCGTCACACACCCACCACCACCCACCCACCGCCACCCACCACCACCCACCCACCACCACCCACGCACCACCACGCACCACCGTCACACACCCACCACCACCCACCCACCACCACCCACCCATCGCCACACACCCACACACCCACCACCACCACCCACCACCACACACCCACCACACCCACCGTCACACACCCACCACCACCACACACCCACCACCACCCACCACCACCCACCCACCACCACACACCCACGGCAGCCCCACACGCACCACCAGCTACAGCAGCTACAGCAGCTACAGCACCATAAGCTACAACAGCTACAGCAGCTACAGCTACAGCACCATAAGCTACAACAGCTACAGCAGCTACAGCTACAGCACCATAAGCTACAACAGCTACAGCAGCTACAGCTACAGCAGCTACAGCTACAGCAGCTACAGCTACAGCAGCTGCAGCACCTTAAGCTACAGCAGCTACAGCAGCAGTTACAGCACCACCAGCTACAGCAGCTACAGCTAGAGCAGCAGCAGCTACAGCAGCTACAGCACCATAAGCTACAACAGCTACAGCAGCTACAGCTACAGCAGCTACAGCTACAGCAGCTACAGCTACAGCAGCTACAGCAGCTACAGCTACAGCAGCTGCAGCACCTTAAGCTACAGCAGCTACAGCAGCAGCTACAGCAGCAGTTACAGCACCACCAGCTACAGCAGCAGCTACAGCAGCGTGGGTGGCTAAGTGCATGAATGACTGAGTGAGTGAGTGACTGAGTGACTTAGTGAGTGAGTGACTTAGTGAGTGACTTAGTGAGTGAGTGACTTAGTGAGTGAGTGACTGAGTGAGTGCGTGGGTGAGTGACTGAGTGAGTGCGTGGGTGAGTGACTGAGTGAGTGCGTGGGTGAGTGACTGAGTGAATGGGTGGCTGAGTGACTGAGTGAGTGCGTGAATGACTGAGTGAGTGAGTGACTGAGTGAGTGACTGAGTGAGTGAGTGACTGAGTGACTGAGTGAGTGAATAAGTGAATGGGTGGCTGAGTGACTGAGTGAGTGAATGAGCGACCTAGTTCGTGAATGACTGAATGGGTGTGGCTGGGTGAGCGAGTTAAACGGGTGCGCCATGAAGAAGGGATGGTGCCCGAAACGTCGGCTGTTCTACACGGGGGTGGCCCAAAAGTCAGGACACATTTATTCTAATACTGGCACGGGAAAAATTAAGACGATAATTGGCTGTTATTTAAGTTGACATTGAAACCAAAACTTGTCCAAAACCCAACCAGTCCAGAAGTAAATTAAAAAGCTCCCCACCCATGTCTCCTGTCTCCCCCCCGTGTCTCCCCCACGTGTCTCTCCCCCGTGTCTCTCCCCCGTGTCTCTCCCCGTGTCTCTCCCCGTGTCTCTCCCCCGTGTCTCCCTCCCCCCCGTCCGTGTCTCCCCCCCGTGTCTCCCCCCGTGTCTCTCCCCCGTGTCTCCCTCCCCCCCCGTCCGTGTCTCCCCCCCCGTGTCTCTCCCCCGTGTCTCTCCCCGTGTCTCTCCCCCGTGTCTCTCCCCCGTGTCTCTCCCCGTGTCTCTCCCCCGTGTCTCACCCCCGTGTCTCACCCCCGTGTCTCCCTCCCCGTGTCTCCCCCGTGTCTCCCCCCGTGTCTCCCCCCCGTGTCTCACCCCGTGTGGTGAGCAGCTGTCACCGCGTGTGGAAGTCACGGAAGTCTCCCTCCGTTCACCACCGCCACCGCCAACGTTGTTGCTTCTGCTGCTGCTGCTGCTGTTGTTGTTGTTGCACTGACAAATTATTACACCAAATGTTAGACCACCCTGGTAACCGTGTAGCTAACCACCCCGGTAACCGTGTAGCCAACCACCCTGGTAACCGTGTAGCTGACCACCCTGGTAACCGTGTAGCTAACCACCCTGGTAACCGTGTAGCTAACCACCCGGGTAACCGTGTAGCCAACCACCCTGGTAACCGTGTAGCTACCCACCCTGGTAACCGTGTAGCTACCCACCCTGGTAACCGTGTAGCTAACCACCCTGGTAACCGTGTAGCTAACCACCCTGGTAACCGTGTAGCTACCCACCCTGGTAACCGTGTAGCTACCCACCCTGGTAACCGTGTAGCTAACCACCCTGGTAACCGTGTAGCTAACCACCCCGCTAACCGTGTAGCTAACCACCCTGGTAACCGTGTAGCTACCCACCCTGGTAACCGTGTAGCTAACCACCCTGGTAACCGTGTAGCTAACAACCCTGGTAACCGTGTAGCTAACCACCCTGGTAACCGTGTAGCTAACCACCCTGGTAACCGTGTAGCTAACCACCCTGGTAACCGTGTAGCCAACCACCCTGGTAACCGTGTAGCTAACCACCCTGGTAACCGTGTAGCCAACCACCCTGGTAACCGTGTAGCTGACCACCCTGGTAACCGTGTAGCCAACCACCCTGGTAACCGTGTAGCTAACCACCCTGGTAACCGTGTAGCTAATGACCCTGGTAACCGTGTAGCCAACCACCCTGGTAACCGTGTAGCTACCCACCCTGGTAACCGTGTAGCTAATGACCCTGGTAACCGTGTAGCTAACCACCCTGGTAACCGTGTAGCTAACCACCCTGGTAACCGTGTAGCTAACCACCCTGGTAACCGTGTAGCCAACCACCTTGGTAACCGTGTAGCTACCCACCCTGGTAACCGTGTAGCTAACCACCCTGGTAACCGTGTAGCTAACCACCCCGCTAACCGTGTAGCTAACAACCCTGGTAACCGTGTAGCCAACCACCCCGGTAACCGTGTAGCTAACCACCCTGGTAACAGTGTAGCTAACCACCCTGGTAACCGTGTAGCTAACAACCCTGGTAACCGTGTAGCTAACCACCCTGGTAACCGTGTAGCTAACCACCCTGGTAACCGTGTAGCTACCCACCCTGGTAACCGTGTAGCTAACCACCCTGGTAACCGTGTAGCTAACCACCCTGGTAACCGTGTAGCTAACCCCCCTGGTAACCGTGTAGCTAACCACCCTGGTAACCGTGTAGCTAACCACCCTGGTAACCGTGTAGCTAACCACCCTGGTAACCGTGTAGCTTACCACCCTGGTAACCGTGTAGCTACCCACCCTGGTAACTGTGTAGCCAACCACCCTGGTAACCGTGTAGCTAACCACCCTGGTTACCGTGTAGCTAACCACCCTGGTAACCGTGTAGCTAACCACCCTGGTAACCGTGTAGCTACCCACCCTGGTAACCGTGTAGCCAACCACCCCGGTAACCGTGTAGCTAACCACCCTGGTAACCGTGTAGCTAACCACCCTGGTAACCGTGTAGCTGACCACCCTGGTAACCGTGTAGCTAACCCCCCTGGTAACCGTGTAGCTAACCACCCTGGTAACCGTGTAGCTACCCACCCTGGTAACCGTGTAGCCAACCACCCTGGTAACCGTGTAGCTAACCACCCTGGTAACCGTGTAGCCAACCACCCTGGTAACCGTGTAGCTGACCACCGTGGTAACCGTGTAGCTAACCACCCTGGTAACCGTGTAGCTAACCACCCTGGTAACCGTGTAGCCAACCACCGTGGTAACCGTGTAGCTAACCACCCTGGCAACCGTGTAGCTACCCACCCTGGTAACCGTGTAGCTAACCACCCTGGTAACCGTGTAGCTACCCACCCTGGTAACCGTGTAGCTAACCACCCTGATAACCGTGTAGCTAGCCACCCCGGTAACCGTGTAGCTAACCACCTTGGTAACCGTGTAGCCAACCACCCTGGTAACCGTGTAGCTAACCACCCTGGTAACCGTGTAGCTACCCACCCTGGTAACCGTGTAGCCAACCACCCCGGTAACCGTGTAGCTAACCACCCTGGTAACCGTGTAGCTAACCACCCTGGTAACCGTGTAGCTAACCACCCTGGTAACCGTGTAGCTAACCACCCTGGTAACCGTGTAGCTAACCACCCTGGTAACCGTGTAGCTGACCACCCTGGTAACCGTGTAGCTAACCCCCCTGGTAACCGTGTAGCTAACCACCCTGGTAACCGTGTAGCTAACCACCCTGGTAACCGTGTAGCTAACCACCCTGGTAACCGTGTAGCTAACCACCCCTGTAACCGTAGTAGCTAACAACCCTGGTAACCGTGTAGCTAACCACCCTGGTAACCGTGTAGCTAACCACCCTGGTAACCGTGTAGCTAACCACCCTGGTAACCGTGTAGCTAACCACCCTGGTAACCGTGTAGCTACCCACCCTGGTAACCGTGTAGCTAACCACCCTGGTAACCGTGTAGCTAACCACCCTGGTAACCGTGTAGCTAACCACCCTGGTAACCGTGTAGCTAACCACCCTGGTAACCGTGTAGCTAACCACCCTGGTAACCGTGTAGCCTAACCACCCTGGTAACCGTGTAGCCAACCACCCTGGTAACCGTGTAGCTAACCACCCTGGTAACCGTGTAGCTAACCACCCTGGTAACCGTGTAGCCAACCACCGTGGTAACCGTGTAGCTAACCACCCTGGTAACCGTGTAGCTAACCACCCTGGTAACCGTGTAGCTACCCACCCTGGTAACCGTGTCGCTAACCACCCTGGTAACCGTGTAGCTAACCACCCTGGTAACCGTGTAGCCAACCACCCTGGTAACCGTGTAGCTAACCACCCTGGCAACCGTGTAGCTAACCACCCTGGTAACCGTGTAGCTAACCACCCTGGTAACCGTGTAGCTAACCACCCTGGTAACCGTGTAGCTAACCACCCTGGTAACCGTGTAGCTAACCACCCTGGTAACCGTGTAGCTACCTACCCTGGTAACCGTGTAGCCAACCACCCTGGTAACCGTGTAGCTACCCACCCCGGTAACCGTGTAGCTACCCACCCTGGTAACCGTGTAGCTAACCACCCTGGTAACCGTGTAGCTAACCACCCTGGCAACCGTGTAGCTACCCACCCTGGTAACCGTGTAGCTAACCACCCTGGTAACCGTGTAGCTAACCACCCTGGTAACCGTGTAGCCAACCACCCTGGTAACCGTGTAGCTAACCACCCTGGTAACCGTGTAGCTAACCACCCTGGTAACCGTGTAGCTAACCACCCTGGTAACCGTGTAGCTAACCAGCCTGGTAACCGTGTAGCTACCCACCCTGGTAACCGTGTAGCTAACCACCCTGGTAACCGTGTAGCTAACCACCCTGGTAACCGTGTAGCTAACCACCCCGGTAACCGTGTAGCTAACCACCCTGGTAACCGTGTAGCTACCCACCCTGGTAACCGTGTAGCTAACCACCCCGGTAACCGTGTAGCCAACCACCCTGGTAACCGTGTAGATAACCACCCTGGTAACCGTGTAGCTGACCACCCTGGTAACCGTGTAGCTAACCACCCTGGTAACCGTGTAGCTAACAACCCCGGTAACGTTGTATCTAACCACCCTGGTAACCGTGTAGGTAACCACCCTGGTAACCGTGTAGCTAACCACCCTGGTAACCGTGTAGCCAACCACCCTGGTAACCGTGTAGCTACCCACCCTGGTAACCGTGTAGCTAACCACCCTGGTAACCGTGTAGCTGACCACCCTGGTAACCGTGTAGCTACCCACCCTGGTAACCGTGTAGTCAACCACCCTGGTAACCGTGTAGCTACCCACCCTGGTAACCGTGTAGCTAACCACCCTGGTAACCGTGTAGCTAACCACCCTTGTAACCGTGTAGCTAACCACCCTGGTAACCGTGTAGCTAACCACCCTGGTAACCGTGTAGCTAACCACCCTGGTAACCGTGTAGCTAACCACCCCGGTAACCGTGTAGCTAACCACCCTGGTAACCGTGTAGCTACCCACCCTGGTAACCGTGTAGCTAACCACCCTGGTAACCGTGTAGCTAACCACCCTGGTAACCGTGTAGCTAACCACCCTGGTAACCGTGTAGCTAACCACCCTGGTAACCGTGTAGCTAACCACCCTTGTAACCGTGTAGCTAACCACCCTGGTAACCGTGTAGCTAACCACCCTGGTAACCGTGTAGCTAACCACCCTGGTAACCGTGTAGCTGACCACCCTGGTAACCGTGTAGCTACCCACCCTGGTAACCGTGTAGCTGACCACCCTGGTAACCGTGTAGCTAACCACCCTGATAACCGTGTAGCTAACCACCCTGGTAACCGTGTAGCTAACCACCCTGGTAACCGTGTAGCTAACCACCCTGGTAACCGTGTAGCTAACCACCCTGGTAACCACGGTGGTAACCAGGAGGAGGAGGAGGTGAAGGAGGTGGAGGAGGAGGTGGTGGAGAAGGAGGTGGAGCAGGTGGTGGCGGACGAGGAGGAGGTGGAAGAGGAGGTGAAGGTGGAGGAAGAGGAGGTGGAGGTGGAGATGGTGGAGGTGGACGAGGAGGTGGAGGAGGTGGAGGAGGTGGTGGAGGTGGACGAGGTGGACGTGAAGGTGGAGGAGGTGGAGAAGGTGGAGGAGATGGTGGAGGTGGACGAGGTGGAGGAGGTGGAGGAGGAGGTGGAGGTGGAGGAGGAGAAGGAGGTGGTGGTGGAGGTTGAGGTGGACGAGGAGGAGGTGGAGAAGGTGGAGGAGGTGGAGGAGGTGGAGGAGGTTGAGGTGGACGAGGAGGTGGAGGAGAAGGTGGAGGAGGTGGAGGAGGTGTTGGTGGAGGAGGTGGAGAAGGTGGAGGAGGTGGAGGAGAAGGTGGAGGAGGTGGAGGAGGTGGAGGAGGTGTTGGTGGAGGTGGAGAAGGTGGAGGAGAAGGTGGAGGAGAAGGTGGAGGTGAAGGTGGAGGAGGTGGAGGAGGTGGAGGAGGTGGACGAGGAGGAGGTGGAGGAGAAGGTGGAGGAGGTGGAGGAGGTGGACGAGGAGGAGGTGGAGGAGAAGGTGGAGGAGAAGGTGGAGGAGAAGGTGGAGGAGAAGGTGGAGGAGGTGGAGGAGGTGGAGGTGGACGAGGAGGAGGTGGAGGAGAAGGTGGAGGAGGTGGAGGTGGTGGAGGAGGTGGTGGAGGTTGAGGTGGACGAGGAGGTGGAGGAGAAGGTGGAGAAGGTGGAGGAGAAGGTGGAGGAGGTGGAGGAGGTGGTGGAGGTTGAGGTGGACGAGGAGGTGGAGAAGGTGGAGGAGGTGGAGGTGGTGGAGGAGGTGGTGGAGGTTGAGGTGGACGAGGAGGAGGTGGAGGAGAAGGTGGAGAAGGTGGAGGAGAAGGTGGAGGAGGTGGAGGAGGTGGAGGAGGTGGTGGAGGTTGAGGTGGACGAGGAGGTGGAGGAGAAGGTGGAGGAGGTGGAGGTGGTGGAGGTTGAGGTGGACGAGGAGGAGGTGGAGGAGGTGGAGGAGGTGGAGGAGGTGGAGGTGAAGGTGGAGGAGGTGGAGGAGGTGGAGGAGGAGGTGGAGGTGGTGGAGGAGGTGGAGGAGAAGGTGGAGGAGGTGGAGGAGGTGGAGGAGGTGGAGGAGGTGGAGAAGGTGGAGTAGGTGGAGGTGGTGGAGGAGGTGGAGGAGAAGGTGGAGGAGGTGAAGGTGGAGGAGGTGGAGAAGGTGGAGGAGGAAGTGGAGGAGGTGGAGAAGGTGGAGTAGGTGGAGGTGGTGGAGGAGAAGGTGGAGGAGGTGGAGGAGGTGGAGGAGGTGGAGAAGGTGGAGTAGGTGGAGGTGGTGGAGGAGGTGGAGGAGAAGGTGGAGGAGGTGAAGGTGGAGGAGGTGGAGAAGGTGGAGGAGGAGGTGGAGGAGGTGGAGAAGGTGGAGTAGGTGGAGGTGGTGGAGGAGAAGGTGGAGGAGAAGGTGGAGGAGGAGGAGGTGGAGGAGGTGGAGAAGGTGGAGGAGAAGGTGGAGGAGAAGGTGGAGGAGGAGGAGGTGGAGGAGGAGGTGGAGGAGAAGGTGGAGGAGGTGGAGGTGAAGGAGGTGGTGGAGGTGGTGGAGGACGAGGTTGAGGTGGAGGAGAAGGTGGAGGAGAAGGTGGAGGAGAAGGTGGAGGAGGTGGAGGAGGTGGAGGTGGACGAGGAGGAGGTGGAGGAGAAGGTGGAGGAGGTGGAGGTGGTGGAGGAGGTGGTGGAGGTTGAGGTGGACGAGGAGGAGGTGGAGGAGAAGGTGGAGGTGGTGGAGGTTGAGGTGGACGAGGAGGTGGAGGAGAAGGTGGAGAAGGTGGAGGAGAAGGTGGAGGAGGTGGAGGAGGTGGAGGAGGTGGTGGAGGTTGAGGTGGACGAGGAGGTGGAGGAGAAGGTGGAGGAGGTGGAGGTGGTGGAGGTTGAGGTGGACGAGGAGGAGGTGGAGGAGGTGGAGGAGGTGGAGGAGGTGGAGGTGAAGGTGGAGGAGGTGGAGGAGGTGGAGGAGGTGGAGGAGGAGGTGGAGGAGGTGGAGGAGGTGGAGGAGGTGGAGAAGGTGGAGTAGGTGGAGGTGGTGGAGGAGGTGGAGGAGAAGGTGGAGGAGGTGAAGGTGGAGGAGGTGGAGAAGGTGGAGGAGGAGGTGGAGGAGGTGGAGAAGGTGGAGTAGGTGGAGGTGGTGGAGGAGAAGGTGGAGGAGGTGGAGGAGGAGGTGGAGGAGGTGGAGAAGGTGGAGTAGGTGGAGGTGGTGGAGGAGGTGGAGGAGAAGGTGGAGGAGGTGAAGGTGGAGGAGGTGGAGAAGGTGGAGGAGGAGGTGGAGGAGGTGGAGAAGGTGGAGTAGGTGGAGGTGGTGGAGGAGAAGGTGGAGGAGAAGGTGGAGGAGGAGGAGGTGGAGGAGGAGGTGGAGAAGGTGGAGGAGAAGGTGGAGGAGAAGGTGGAGGAGGAGGTGGAGGAGGAGGTGGAGGAGAAGGTGGAGGAGGTGGAGGTGAAGGAGGTGGTGGAGGACGAGGTTGAGGTGGAGGAGAAGGTGGAGGAGGTGGAGTAGGTGGAGGAGAAGGTGGAGGAGGTGGAGGAGGTGGAGGAGGTGGAGGAGGTGTTGGTGGAGGAGGTGGAGGAGGTGGAGGAGAAGGTGGAGGAGGTGGAGGAGGTGGAGGAGAAGGTGGAGGAGGTGGAGGAGGTGGTGGAGGAGAAGGAGGAGGAGGTGGAGGAGGTGGAGGAGGTGGAGGAGGAGGTGGACGAGGAGGAGGAGGAGGTGGAGGTGGAGGAGGTGGACGAGGAGGAGGTGTTGGTGGAGGAGGTGAAGGTGGAGTAGGTGGAGTAGGTGGAGGAGGTGAAGGTGGAGTAGGTGTTGGTGGAGTAGGTGGAGGAGGTGGAGGTGAAGGTGGAGTAGGTGTTGGTGGAGGTGGTGGAGTAGGTGGAGTAGGTGTTGGTGGAGGTGGAGGAGTAGGTGGACGAGGTGGTGGAGTAGGTGGAGTAGGTGTTGGTGGAGTAGGTGGAGTAGGTGGAGTAGGTGTTGGTGGAGTAGGTGGAGTAGGTGGAGGAGGTGGACGAGGAGTAGGTGGAGGTGGTGGAGTAGGTGTTGGTGGAGGAGGTGGAGTAGGTGGAGTAGGAGGTGGAGGAGGTGGAGGAGGTGTTGGTGGTGAAGGTGGAGGTGGTGGAGTAGGTGGAGTAGGTGTTGGTGAAGGTGGAGGTGGTGGAGTAGGTGGAGGAGGAGGTGGAGGTGGTGGAGGTGGTGGAGTAGGTGGAGGAGAAGGTGGAGTAGGTGTTGGTGGAGGTGGAGGAGTAGGTGGACGAGGTGGTGGAGTAGGTGGAGTAGGTGTTGGTGGAGGTGGTGGAGGTGGTGGAGGTGAAGGTGGACGAGGTGGTGGAGGTGGTGGAGTAGGTGTTGGTGGAGTAGGTGAAGGTGTTGGTGGACGAGGTGGTGGAGGTGTTGGAGTGCCGTACCTCT